GTTTCTTGCTCTCCTCTCCAACCCTCCTCCAACTCTTTCAAATTGGTGGCTCAAACCAAATGGCACACAAGTGCCCTTTCCAGGCTAATGTAAAGTGGATGCTTGGGTAAAGATATTTTTCCTAAAAAAAAAAAAAAAAAGATTGTTACCTTAGACATGTTTCTTGCTCTCCTCTCCAACCCTCCTCCAACTCTTTCAAATTGGTGGCTCAAACCAAATGGCACACAAGTGCCCTTTCCAGGCTAATGTAAAGATAGTGCCCTCTGGTGTGCTGTGGGGATGACTACACCTTTCTCCCCAAAGCTCTGTTAGGAGGTTGGTCTTCGCCCTGGCCTGCCTTAAATGTATCTTTGCCGAGCTCCGGCAGCCTAGTGCTGCTAACATCAGGTCGTTCATTTGCAGCCCCAGCCTCACTCTGCACCAAGCCCACCTATTTTAGCAGTGACCAGGAATCAGCGAAGCTGGACATGTACAAAGAAGCAAAAAGGATGGTATAAAGGTGCCCAAGTTTCTTCACTCCACCCCTGATGCCCAGCTCTATAGCATTCTATGACAAATAAATATTGAGCTACCATAAGCTAATTCCTAAACCCTTTTGAGTTTTCCCCAGTGGAGTAATTGAAGGACTATAAAGAAAATGTGCAGAATAAGCAGTTCCAATTTATTATCCATGTGAAGCAGGAAAGTGTGCTTCCAAGTGAGTTCACTTCTTGGAAATGGACTCGGGTCTTGGTTCCATCCACCCAGAGAAAAGAATCGGACACCACTGTGCTCAAGGGGAGGGGGATGAGTAGCGGGTAGAAACCCTGGAAGCAGACGTGCCCCTGGGAGCTTCCACTGTGTGCAGGGTGTTGCCATGTTCCACTAAATTCTGCAAAGGCAGTAGTAGCCTTAAGGGATCAGATTTCTGGAATCAGATGAAAACTCTCAACAGCTCAAAGGGCTTCTGGGTAGACAAAAGAACAGTTCAGAGTTTGCTGGAGAAATGCAAAGAAAGTGTGAGGACATGAACATTCTTTGAGTGGAAAAAATAGGATGTGCTGTAATTGGTAGGTAATAGTCTCTATGGGGAGTTTGCAAAGGTTCAACTGCAGGGTGGAGTAAATTTAAAGATTTTCTGGGAGGGGGGTTCACGGGCACAGAGAGGATTGGGGCAGGCAGATTACCTTGGCTGGACCAGAGTAAGAGAAGTGAGGTGGGAGAAAGGTTGTCCGTATGTCCCTCTTGTTTAATTTCACCGAGTAGCAAGAGGGCCACGAGGGTGTATGCCCTGCCCGGCAAGAATCAGCCATCTCCGGTGGATCCTTTGAGAGAAAGAGCCTGATCATCTTCTCTGGCAGCTCCATGTCTTACAACTCCTCATTCAGATATTCCAGATTTTTCAGGTGAGATGCAGCTACTGGGGCGGGCGGTGGGGTTCGGGGGTGGGTGGGAGGAGGAGACTCAGGCATCAACAGATGTAACAATACCACACGAAGGAGACACCATAGATCCAGATCATCAAAACAGCGATAAAGATCACATGCCAGCTGAAGAAGATGGTGACAAAGAGAATGTCATTGTTGTCATCATCCATCCATTTATAGCCAGAAATGGGTCTGAACAGCATAAAGCCTAAATGCATCAGCCAAGAGCCTACCAGCATATTGAAAAAGGCTTTCATCACCCAGATCTGAGGCAGGTCGGGAGCCCACAGCTCTGCGATCACCACCACCGTCAGCAGGAAGATGGCCTGGATGAGCAGGATGTGACCCTGACGCTCCACTCCTTCTGTGTCCTGAATGTGAGACACCATCAAAGGCAGGCACACACACAAGGTTAAGGCTTGGCCGCCTTGTTCCAAAGGAGCACATCTCCAGGGCAGCAAGTTCTGGCTCAACACATCTACACACCCACTTAGGAAGAAGCTCAGATATAATGTAAGATGCTGCCACTGTTTGTGGTATAAAAAGTTTCGCTGGTGGTATAGCTTGGTGATAAGTACAAACTGTCCAGGAATGCTATGCAGTTCTTGAGCTACTAAAATGCAGGCGCCCAACATCTTCAGCAATCCAACGTAGTATATTTGCCGCAGCTTGGCCCATCTTCCCTTGCTCCAAGGACGAGTTGGTGGATACTGGGCAGGACAGTTGCACATTGAGGCCTTGAAGGACATTTGTGCATGATAAAGACCATAAAAGAAGAAACACAGCCCTGGAAACAGGTGACCCTCAAAGCCTCCCATGGAACTGAAGGCAGGTTTGACCAAGGGCAGAGAATAAAGACCCAGGAATGACCAAGGCCACCTTGAGCTCTGGAGTGTGGAGGGATCTTCCTGCAGCCCACTTATAGGCTGTCTGTCCAGCCCACTGTATTCACACACAAAAGAAACATGGTTTTGCAGGAAACCCTAACCTAGGGTGGGGTGGGTGTCGTGGCTTCCGTTCGTGTCCTTTGCTCTGGTCCATTGAGAACTAACCAACCTTGGTAAAGCAATGAAATAAGCATTTTCTCCAGCTCACCCACTGGGCATCTGCCATTCTCAGAGACGTGCTATAGGGCCCACGTTGACGTTCCTCCCTCTTGTCCGCGACTCCATTGGGCGTGCCTTACTTCACTCCCAAATGCAAGGGAGAATCCACGGAAAGCGTGGAAACCCATAGAATAGAGTGCATCGTTCTTCCTACAGACAGTAGATACAACTGCCCTGCTCGGTATGCTGTTGAGAGCAGAAGGAAGCATACACAGCACCCAATTTCCTGACACGAGGTGAAGATTGACAGCAAAAATGTTCACTCCCCCCACGCTCTCGTCTTCCGCTCTCCAGGGAGAACTGAAACGCCACCATGTGAGACTCCAAGTCAACATGCCTGTAAAAAGGCTTACCCATTGGTGGTGAGTTGGAACTTCGTGAGCCAGTGTTTTGCAATAAGTATCTCAATAAACACCCCAGGTGTTTATTGGGCACGCTTTGGGAAACACTGAAATATTCTAAGTGTAAATGTCCCCGTCTAATGTTTTCTCTTGTGAAATATTATTTAGAATGTAATGGTCGTATTTCCATTCATGATAGCTAACCAAGTACAGAGAATGTCTCAAATTAATGTTTGCTTTGTATGAATATAGATTCTGAAGGCTTCCTGAGATGTATTAGTTGTTCAGTTTTCTTTTGCTTCAACGGTGAATAGGTCTTCTATTTTATTTTCTGATTAACGTTAGTATGTTGTTGATGACTACCATTGAGCCACGTCAGACTCCTGGCAACCCCACGTGTTAGAGGGTTGAACTGTACTCCATAGGGTTTTCTGGGTTGTGATTTTAACAAAAGCAGGTCGCCAGGCCTGTCTCCTGTGGAATTGCTGGTGAGTTCAAACCCCAGAGCTTGAGGCTAGCAGTTAAGCACAAACTCCTTGCAATATCTACACCCAAAATACCAAACTCCTTGCCATGGAGTTAATATTGATGCCTAGTAGCACTAAGGGACCGAGAAGCATTTCCCTATGGGGTTTCCAAGGCTGCACATCTGCATAGGACTTCACAGACTGCCAGGTATTTCTGCTGCTGCACAGCAGTGGGTGGATTTGAACCACTGATCTTTGGGTTAGCAGCTGAGTACTGTCACCACTGTGCCACCAGGGCTCTTTGGTGCTCTCATAAACTATGTAAATTTTGTTAAAATCATTTTATTGGGGACTCATACAACTGCACTCTGTAGGGGTCTCAGGGCTGATTTTTATAGAAGTAGATTGCTAGCCTTTGCTTCTTAAGCTCCTCTGGGTGGATTTGAACCTTCCCTCCTTTGGTTAGCAGCCAAAAGCTTTTAAGCATTTGTGCCACCCTGAAGTTCCTTCTAGAAGGTTGGTTGGCTACAAAATGTACACGGATCTACTCAGTCATAAACTGACTATCAACAAAGAGTACCAAAACAAAACCAAAAACCCCAGCTCAACACAAGGCAAAAGTGAAAATCCAGCAAGCTGGCTACTGTACCCGGGGTCCTTCTTCACAGACTAGATCCTCAGCCCTCAGGGTCCTCAGGAACGTGAGGGCCCAGCACCCTAGTCCGCAGGCTGGACCATGATGTTCTGCCACCCTTCAGTGGTACAGTTGGAAGGAAGGGCCAGCAGGGGCTACCCCTGTGCTCGAAGGCAAGGGACGTCAACAGCAAGTAAGTGGAATCATCTCTGTGGAACCCCCACCCCCCCTTTCTCAGGAGTCCTGCATGCCACACACTCTCTCCTGTTGCCTCTAGCGGATTCATAGCAGGAAGAACTGACCCCTGGGGTTTTCAATGGCTGTGGCCTTTCAGACACTGAGCACAGGCCTTCATGCCTCTCTTCCCGGTGGCTCTGAGTGGGTTGGACCTTGGTCATTTCCTCCAGTAGGAGCACAGTAGTGATGGCAACACACTCAGTGCTTAGAGCTACACACTCCCCTATCGACAGTTCATGTGCCCACAACACACCCTCAATCCAACATGACTGGACAAAGGTGTAAGTGGCTGTGGTAGTTACGTAATCGGTTGTCAGTTAGCATTTACCAACATGTTTCTGTCTACTTTCTCTTGTTTAAAAAAAAAAGAAAAAGACCTTTAAAATCGGGGGGTATTCAATAGAAGGTCAGAAAGGGTAGGTTTGAGATGGTTGACAATATGGCTTCTCCTTTGGCATGTTTAATTGTGATGCTTAACGGATGTCCTTGCAGTTTAAGATGACACTGTTAATATAAAATTCTCTATTAATGATGACCTGAGCCCTGCCAGTCGATGAGAGGATCAGCAGAACCTGGAGGGTCTTGTTTGGGATTGGCATTCTCTATTGTAGTTTCGTTCCTGTTTGTTTTAACATGTTCTTTTTGTTTCACTGGAAAGGACAGATGATGCTCAGTGTTAAGTGTTGCAAGTGCACACGTTGCTTGGTTACAATAAAACTCAACGTGTGCACAAAGGATTTGACACTTCCTTCTCAGAACAGACAGTGAGGACCTCCTGAATTTGATGGCCTCAACCGACTGTCAAACTTTGTCACCTGAACTCCATGTTTTGATAACAGACTTTGCAGGATGCCCTCGGGGCTATGTGGGTTGAGTCAAGGGCCCAAATCTTAGTATATTAAAGGCTTCATAGTTGGGGAACATCGCAGACAATTCACGTGACCCTGATTTTTGAAGGTAGATCATTGAGGGTGTCAGATTGTGCAAAACTTGGGTCTTAGTTTGTGTACTCTTAATTTCTATCTTAACTTGACAATTTTTTAAAGTGGGTCCTTATTTACCTGGCTATAATAATGAATAGTGCCTGCCACTGCCATCCAGCCTGCTGCTCCAATGCCAAATTAACGCCAGGTAGTCACTGGCATGTCTTAATTGGCACTGTAATGTGAGCCACAGAAGACGGGCCAGTCCTCAGAAAGTCCGAGGTGGTGGTGAGAGACTCAGGTTAGGAATACTTTTTTTTCTTTGGTCTCTAGTACCAGCTCTTTAGGATAAAACTATCAAAGGAGACTCATCTCTGTGGATCTGAGTGAGACTGACGGAGTCTGCCCAGTCTCCTCACTGCCATTGTGCATATAGCATCTCGAGAAGCTACCGAAAGCCTAAGCTTTTTTCAATGCTGTAAAACATAGTAGCTAAGTCAACGCTGCTTTCAAAAGCGAGCCAGCGGTCATCCTGGGCAAATTCAAAGCTGTTGTTGTATAAAACCTTATCAATGGAACTATTCCATCAAGAAGCAAATTGTGTTGTTTAGATGGATAGTATGCAATTTCTCTGCATAGTAAATACAGTACTGTACTGGTCAGAAGTCTTGCTCTAATAAAGGAATATAAAGATTTTTTTTTTTGACTGGGGTCATTCTCATTTGACTTTGGGGTTTCTATTGATGGCAAGCTATTTAGTTTGGGTTTGTTTTTTTTTATTCTAAGTAATGAGAAACTTCTGCAAATAGATAAATCCACATGAAAAGGTTTGAGCGGGTCAACACAGATCCTGGGCGTATTACTCATTATTTGGATTGTAGTAAATAAACAGGATTGATGGTTTCAAAAAAAGAAAAGAAAAAGGTGTAAGTGAATCAGTTACTTAACATTGTGTTTCTAGATAAAAGGGTGTGCTGACAGAGGTGTGGTGGCGTCCACAAATGACAATACTTACCAGTAAGACTGTAGCTGCCTTTGTCAACACCGAGGAGTCCTGTTGGCGCAGTCGCTGAAGCACCCAGCTGCTAGTCAAAGAAAGATCAGTGAGATCTGTCAAAGCCGCCAACTGCTCTGCGGGAGAAAGATGAGGCAGTCTGCTTCCATGAAGACTTAGAGCCTTGGAAATCCAATGGGTGTTCTATAATCCCTGTAGACTCCTTATAGTTCCTATGGGGCCCTTATTAGCTGGAATCCACTCAACAGTCATGGGTTATCCAGGGCTGTCCAAGGAAAAACTTTCTTTGAGCAGGGAATATGGTAATGATAAGAGAAGTGTAGAGGGAACCAATTTGTGTTGGGGGAACCAATTAGTGTAGGGGGAACCAATTAGTCAAGCTTGTGTAGGGGGAGTCAATTAGTCAAACTTTCCCCTGGTGTTGTAGTGATTACATATTGGGCTGCTATCCACAAGGTCAGCAGTTCAAAAGCAGCAGCTGCTCCCCGGGGGCAGATGAGGCTTTTTTTTCTCCTGTTACAGAAACCCACAAGAGCAGTTCAACTGTCCTCTAGGGTCGCTGTGACTGAGTACAGACTCAATGGCAGTGACGCTGGTTTGTTTTCTGTATAATGAGCTAGACACTGTGCAAGCGGCTGGTATTACAAAGATGAGTAAGACGTGGCACCTGCCCTGAAGGGAAACGTTGTTAGGTGCCCACGGAGGGGATTCTGACTCAGAGAGACTCGAAGTGACAGGGTAGGTGTGCCTGCAAGGTTTGCTGGGCTGGGACTGCACAGGACCAGATGCCGGGCCCTTTTCTCCCATGGAGCCACCGGCGGATTCATTAGGCTGCCAGGGCTACTGGAAGGAGAAAGTAACTCTTTGAATCTCAAATTGTGGTCCTAAGGCCAGTAGTGTCAATGTTCCCTGGGAGCTTGTTAGACATGCAGAAGCCCGGTCCCCACCCAGACCTGCTGAATCACAGGCTATATTTTACCAAGATCTCCAGGTGATTTGAAGGCAGGTCAAAATTTGGGAAGCACTGATCTAGTAGAAAAGATGAACCTAAAGCCATCGTGAACTAAACTCCTTTGTTGGTGTATAAAGCAGGGT